GTTAGGAACAGGCTCCATTAAAAACACAAAAAAAAACTAGAAAAACCCGTAAAAATACTAAGAAAACCTTTCCGGCCGCAAGACCGGCCGAGGGTCCGGCCGTAAATTTGTCCGAGACCTCCACATGGATGTTCTTCAATGTTTAGAATGGGCGTCGCGTTTACAGTCTAATAGACGCTGAAACCGCTATTAATTATTAAATTTTAATTATTAAAATTATTAAATCATGGAACATCATGTGATGAGCAAAAAAATACATTTAATTTTATTCGTCTACTCCTTTAATTACTTCAAGTAAATATTTGTCACTTAAAATTTATTGCATTGATCACTGATAAGGTATAATCTTTTGGAATACACTGCGGTATCAAATTCGTTGCTAGCTTTTAAGACTTTCCAAAAATTATATTATCCAACTCCTTGATCAATTTGAAAAGCATAGTTGAAATTTTAATTTTCTTTGTCAATTATTTTTTCTATCCGGCTTATAGGCGTAAAATATTGGATTAACCGTAGTGTCATTCAGAATCCGAGATCAGATGCTACTCTTACGCCTACGGTAGACATTAGAAAAGCGTCGCTGTTTGTTGGCTGTTGACCCCGAGTCACGGCAGAACTCTACAGTTTAAAGAGACGACGAAGAGCTACATAACTTTCATACAAAATTTTATCTTAAACGATGTATGCATGGCTTGACTTCATTCTCAATTTCTCCACCTAGCCTTTTTATACGGATTTCTGTTGTTGAACCAATGAACCTGCTTTACCTTTCACAAATTAGTAGATTATAGATATGAATTTTATTTTATTCAAACGGACCGACTGACAGAGTAATAGTATGGAGGTATAAGAAATTGAAAATTATGTTTAAACAATTCATGAACTTGAAAACATTCTCAAAATGTCATCACAGGACACAGATCACTCAGAGTCTCAGACACCCACTCATCAAAAGAGGATTTGTTGTCACTTCAAACTTCAAAGTTCAACATCAACTCACTTGCTTGTCTTGCCAGTTGCCGCTTGCCATACCTATTTTGAACCCTGGCAAATCTAATTAGAAAATTAAGCAAAAACCACCAATGATTTAACATGGTATGTTGGTATCTAGCCAAGCACCATGGTCAGGAAGATGTGCCAGGTGTGCGGGAATTTATATTGTCATTTTAGCAACCTGCGCGGTGCGCCGTACTATGCCGGTAAAAAAAATGCGCCGTGCGCCGACAGCGCCGTACTTTTAGAAAGCTAAAATAGTTTAAATATGGACGCGCGGCAATGCAAATTACGTAATCACACTGACCGTACACACAAACTGACAAACGTGTATCCGCATTGTGTTGTGGTTGGATACAAGCATAGTGGCAAACCAGAGCTTTTTTAGAATCAGTTCATTTTTAATTTCCTCATTTACTCAAGATTTAAAACAATTTCTTAAGTGTGATAATGCTGGTATCCAGGATACTTTACTGGTCTACCAACTAGTATGGAATATATCTACTTGGCGAGCCGCGACTGAATTTTTCGAGCCGTGGTTTTATGGATTTGCCAGCCGCGATTCCATTTCTACGAGTAGCCACGAGATTTCATACCTACTGAAATTATATGATATTAGAGCCGCGATATTTCAGACAAAAATAGGACTTTTCCAGACTAGTCTACCAATAGGACTCAAAAATGAACTTGAGGTAGAGTCTAAAAAACCCTCTGCTTTGCCACTATGGATCATACGAGTAACGAGTTAACTAGATTGCTAACCAGGAACCAGCTAACGCGTCAACTCAGGACTCAGGTTCTAAGAGTCAGCACAGTAATGAATATTCATTCATAGATCACAATTCAATCGGACATGAATTACAGAACTAAAGAAGGCAACATGGCTTTAGATGTGCCATTGGTGCCTTCTAATGAATGACTGGACTGGTTGCGGACTTGCGGCAAGTAGGGTATGAACCTGTATGTCAACAGTACGAACCTGCATGCCAATGATTGCTGGGACTACATTCCCGAGTCCCGACATCCTCCCGGCCGGCAAAATTGACACGATGAATACCTAATAACAATGCGCGTAAATGGACTATACAAATTAGGTCAATATGGCATAATTACAGAGCGTAATTATGCTATGTGATAGTGATACATAATATGAATATATATATATTTGCAAGATAAGTCAATGGTCTGTCGTTTATTTTTGCTTCATTTGAGCAATAATGGTTTCCAAATCTGGATGCGTTATGGTTATGTTATGTCATGTGTACTTTGAATGTGCAAAAATTATAACTATCATATGAAAATTGTTACGTAGGTTATTATAGCACAAATCACAATAGAGTATCAAGATTGCAGCTCTGCCACCAGCCTTCATTGAATTATACCGCCTTTTTCTAAAATTCAATAATCTCTCTTCCAGCAAAGTTTGCAAAATTCATTAGCTGCAGAAAATACTCTCTGCTGTGGTGTTCCAGTTCCGGTTGACATGAAAACTTGCGGTAAACTTGCGGTTCCAAAAATGGCGGGAAAGCTCTAATCGCGCCGCTCTGAAGGCAATTCATATAAATAATAATCTAATGCACGCCTACGCTGGAGGAAGTTCAAACTTCAGAGGTGGAACTAAATGCAGTAAATTTGCAGTAAGTCAGAAAATACCAGATTTAGGCATATATACCAGATCTAAAATATTCATACCAGACACCTTTTGAAAATACCAGATTTGTGAAATCTGGTATAGAAATATACCATCTGGCAATGCTGGTTCAGCCTTACTTGAAATCATCTACAGATGATGTTGCCATTCCATTCAGATGAAAACTGTGTCTAAATCAGAACTGTGTCGGACGGCTCCGCGGCCCGCGCCGAGTGCTGCGCGGCGCGGAATCGATGACCGTGATTTGCACGAACGTCTGCGCGAAAAAAATATAATTAGATTGATTTACGCAAGAAATTTCCCCGTTTATATACATCTTCCTGAGTGTGGGCCAAGCAGAGCTTTTTGTATACTCAACCATAAGTTTGTTTTTGAGTCCTATGTCAGTATGTCCTATAAGCTATAATAAGTAGACCACTAACTTACTAAGACCAGTATAGTATCTGGTGTCATGGTCATGGATAGTGGATACCAGTACTAGGCTTAGTAGGCTACTACCCTACTAGCATTATCATACATAAGAAATTGGCTCAAATTATGACTTTTGAGTAGAAGACAGTAAAAATGAACTGAATCTAAAAAATCTGATTATACAACAGTACACTTACTACACTATGCCGGGTATGCCCTAAGCCCATGAATAGGACTAAAATGTCCTTTATCCTGGCCAATTTTTTCCATTTCAAAGCATAAATTGTGGTTAAAAGTAATGATTGCAGGTAAAAATAGGTACTGTTTTTTTGTCATTCATTGACGATAAATTAACAATGGGAAAACCAAATAAAAACAAATGAAATTGGCCAGATTTCTGGGTATTTTTTTTGCAAAATCATAGGTAACTTTGGCCTAAATTAAACTAAGAAGTAAGTAAAATTTTGGGCAGAATTTTCCAAAAGTTGGCAACTGCTAGAAATTTCATTTTGGGATATTGGGAAGATGTTTCTAAAGTCATGGGTGAAAATAAAATAGTCTGCTTATAGAAGATTTAGAAATTCCTGGTTAGTGGTTGACAGGGATGGTTAAATTAGCCAGATTTACAGGTAATGGATAAAAATTATAGATACAGACTATGGTTGAGAATGAGATCATAAGAATTATACAGGCAATGGATTAAACAGGATTAGAATTTTCATTCATTTTGACCTAATATCAGTCGTGGTTCTCAAGTGCCAAATTTTCAATACATTTGGAATATTGTAGCCCTATTGTTCATTTTTGTTTACTACCATTTGAAAGGAGATATTTATTCCATCTAGGGGGAACCTCATAGCCTTAAAAATGGTGTGATGGCTCTTGTTGAAGCGTATAAGATGCATATATTTATTCTTTGCCTGTCAACAAACATGCCATTTCATGACACTTAAAAAGCCAGCAGTTTGGTATCACACATTTGCCAAATTTCCAGCATCCAAAATATTTTGCCTTGTCATTCCCTGTTGTATTAGTCCAAACTATCAAATTGGGTGGAAGCAACTAGCAAATTAGACAAAAAAATCAAATCGTAAATCTGGTAAATTTACCCATTCCTAATGACCATTTCAAACTTTCTTTACTGAAAAACAAGAAAAATTGCAATTTTTGAAACTCATTAGTGAAACAATCATATTTACTGATTTTGGGAAACTTCTGCCATTATTCCAAATTGGATTGTAGTCATGTTTCTGATATCAAAGAGCAATTCAAGGTACATATTAATATCAACTTCAACATGTATCTGATGATAGCCAAAATGATACAATATCACATGCTAAATTGCCTCAACAAGCATAAAATTAGGGACATATTCAATCTGGATTATCAGACATTCCTAAAATTGCCAATAAAAACTATCATCATTCTATTACTAATTTTCTGAAACTTTAGGCAGAAATATGCTCTTTTTTTTTATTTTCTATGCAATAAATAAGGCCTAAACACTGTGAATTTGACTGCAAGCCCAAGCATTTTATCTCATTCATGGGGAGCTTTAGCAGGATTTTCCTGAATGCAAATATGACATGAGATGCATTAGGTACTTAATAATGAAATCATGGTACAAGAAATGTTTGCTTTCTCAGTTATGGTACCTAATCAATATTCTTACGGTTTCACAAATCCAGCAGTAGCATGAAAAATGAATATTTCCCAATTGGCACTAGATGTATGCATATATTATCTATAATCTCATTGTTATCAGACGTACACTACTACTACTGAACACTTTAGCATCCCTGCATTAGTTGCTTGAGCAAACTTAAACAAAGAAGCATTGTCATTCAATTCATAGTGCAATGTTATTCATTTTTTTAAGAACCATTATAATGGTAATAAAAATCATTTGCATTTAAATTGTCCTTGGTTAGACCTTTGCATTTTCTTTAACTGTTATTTTAATTGATGTGATTCATCATGAATGTGGAAATTACTATTTACTAAGAAATTGTTCATTCTTATCCCTCTAGGATCAAGAAGAAATTTCTCAAATAACTTAAATGTTGCATGTATGAATGTATACATATATCTGATGGACTGTTGATCCCCTTATCATCTTGCTTTAATAAAGATTATATTCTTCTTCTGAAATGAGGTGAGCATTTTTGTGAATGCAGGTACCAGTATAGAAATAATATCTATGATATTATAGATATTTAATTTTATTGTATTGCATGACATCAGTTAGCCCGTGTCTCTGATACGTAGTATATATATATAATCGCTGGGTCCATATAATATCTATGATATTATATGGTCCCAAGTTTCTTCAAAATATTGTAATTCATATGTTGCTTTGAAGCTAAACAACATTATACACAATATTTTATTCAAAAAGAACTTTACATGTGGCTCTAAGAACATGATTGATGTGCACAAGATTTGTATAAAATAGCTCAATAAATTACACTTTGCCTTAATCAAAACCCTGAATTTCAGTGGCAGTGGTGGCAATGCCATGCTCCTGCACCAGCTGAGCGTGTTGAAGCTGCGACACCTGAAGCGAATTATGGGATGCAATTTTCAGCCCCCTAGTGACTTCCCTTGCCCTGTGCCCCCGCCATGTCTCCCTACTATCCTGAGGCATCCTCCTCTACAACAAGGGTTAGCTTGAAACATTTATCTCTGTGACCATTCGAGCATTTTAGTATAGTATAGATCAGCTTTCTTTGCTGATGCTATCAATCCTCATTTTGTTAATAAAGGCATTGCAATTATCACTTCATGCCATTTATGTTTCTTTTATACATTTATTTATTTGATAATTTACTCTATGATACTTCCTTTCTTATGTGTATTTATTTCCTAAATAATTAATATTATTTCATTAAATTTCAATTTAATTTCTTCTTCTACAGGTACTTTTTGAGCCTGCACCTGTCTTGGCATCCAAATGTGCCAGCATTCCTGGTTTCAGAGCTCAGTTGCTTGTCACATCCTCAGTGGCAAGAGCTAAATCTTGTCAGCTCCATTCCAAAGACACTGCAAACTGCTAAAGGTATTTTAACCTGGTACCGTAATTGGCCCTCATTAACTGAGAATTTACAATGTATCTGCAAATAGTTGCATTATGTGTCTGTGATGACTTGGTTATTGGGAGGGAAAACCTGATTGGATGACATTCAAACAGCACATGGATTATTGAACTCATCTTAGAATTCACAGTTGAGTTTTGAAGTGTAAATTAACTTCACAAGTTTGTGCAATTTATCAAGCTCTGATTTTTTCTCATTAGCAGAAATGCTCATTGTTAACTTGGCATCATTCAATGCTACCTATGTATTTTGCATGTTTTGAATTAGATTCTCATTGCAGGCTTGGTGGTACGTGTGTGGTACAAACCTCCTGCCAGTTACTGCTCAAGTGAAAGAAATGACAGGCATGTATTTCATTCAACACCCTGTGCATCACCAAACATGGGAACTCTGAGCACATCGGAGTCCACCAGTTCCCAGTTACAAAGTGATACGGTTATTTCCTCATCTACCAGCACCACCAAAGATGATGAGTCTAGTCATAATCCTGATTCAATTACTCATATTAAGAACAACTCTTCTTCCTCGTCTAAATTACCTCCGCAAATTGTGGCCAGTAATTCAAATAAAGTTTGTATTCTACCACCTGAACCCCCAGACTGTGCGAACAAAACCCCTGCAATTCTTTTATGTTCTTGGGCTGTCCGATTATCTGGTCTTGTTCCTATAGGAACAAATTTATCTCAAACTTCTACTAGCCTTGCCAAGAACACTTTGGTTTTCCAATTCATGTCAGGCTCTATGCTTTATTCTTCTGCTGACGCCATTATTTCACCGTTGCCTGGAGACGATAACCCGAGCTTGAGACAAGTGTGGCATGACATCAGTTTGCCCATGTCTCAAACCAAACGTAGCTACTCCCCTAATGTCCTCAACAAGTAAGTCTTGCTGTGTCTGAAGTTCATTTTTATTTGTATTAATTGAGTCTTGATGTTCTCTAACTTAAGTTGATCAACTGATGTTCTTTTCTACCATGGATTTAAAAAATTATGAATATAAGTAGGTACCAAATATAGTGATTACTACTTTTTAAAAATTTGTTATGCATGTTTAATAGAAGCTCGTTGTCTCTTAGCTCGTGCCTGTATTTCTGTCCAATAGTAGGCAGTTTTCAAAGGGTTGACCTAAACGTATCTAAGAAAACGGCTGTAACATACGACAAAATGTGCCCCTGAAAGTTGTTATTCAAGATTTCTTGTCCTGCAGACTGCACCAGTACGAGCGAGACATCAGTTCCTTTGAAGAGGAGTGTGAGCAGCGGAAAGTGAGCTTGCGGTATGTTGGCAAACTTTCTGCAGACTCCCGAGAGAGGCTCCTCAATAATCAGGTGTGGTGCTGTGGGTGTTCATGGACACTATGTTTCTTTTACAGCTGCTGTCGATTTCCATACAATATCTATAGTAATATGCTAATTATTCTTATTCCCCAACTGCTTTCACTTGCTCCAGCGTTTTTATAATAATTACCTACTAGTTGTTGACTCTGATACGTAGTAATTAACTTCTACCATACTTTGATCAATATCAGTCAATTACGAGGTTATGGTCATCCTTGTTGCTTTCACAGGTGCAGGCTCTTAAGTCACGCCTCGCTGTGACTCGCGCTGTGGTGCAGCGAGAGCGTCACAAGCTGGAGAAATTGCAGCGCAAAGTGGAGCAAGCTGAGAGCTCCAACCAGGAGAAGGGTGAGATTGTTAACCTGGACCAAGTCTTTATGATAAATTGATTACTGAATTTGTGCCCATTGACTGCCAATTTTCATGTTATGAGCCAGTCTTCATGAGTTATTTATTGAATTATTGCTTTGAGATAGTCCTTTGAAATTGGGTTACCATTGTTGATGAAGAAGACAATTCGAAAAATGAATACTCTACTAACTAAACTCTCGTATTTCAGATCGTTTATTTCTATGATATATTAGCAGAAAAAATTGTCAAGTAGAAGAAACTGGTTTTTCTTCGAGCGCTATTTTGACAACGGCTATATTATTTATTTGCTACTTATGTGCCAATGTTACGTTATTAGCACTGAAGAAAAATGCTAACTTCCAATCACATGACCATGTACAGTTAACTCGTGGCATTTTGTACTGGTTACAAGCCTTGTCAGTTAGCTGCAAACTTCACGACAGGCATGCAGCTGCTGACGCTGCTGCAGCAGCTGGGGCGGGAGAGACAGCACCTACGCAGCGTGTGCAGTCAGAGCGAGCATCAGCTGCAGCAGCTCGAGAAAACCAAGTCTTTGCTGGCGCACAGGCGGTCCTGCCTCATCAGGGAACTTGCCCAAGTCTACCCAATTGTACAGGTAATTTCTCTTGAACGATTGGGAATATTTATATAATTTTGTGTGGTATCTCAGCCCGCGTTTATTCAATTGTGGGAGTTACAGTAGCAGAATGCTTGGATATTGTTTTTTTTTTGTGTAGGATCTTTGGCTGCATTCATGCAGATGTAGGTAGATGTTGGGGTTGTTGAACGCCCCTTTACCAAATACTTCCCAGCACAGCTTACTGTATGATTCGCTTTTCATAATAATTATGTCACGCATCGGGAAAATTCCATTTTTAATTCACTTCCAATTTCGTTTTTTTGAAATGTCCAACTTTATCTTATACAGAAATTCTTAGGGTTGGTAGAGTGTTACTGCTGCTATCATCTTGCTTAAATTCCGGAATAAGTTTTTCCCCATTTTCAATGCTTTAATTCTTTCTCACTTGAATGAAATAATTTTTTTTTGTTTCAAGCGAATAATCCAGAGCAGAAAAAATTCTCACATTTATTTCATTTTGTATGTTTATTTAATCTCATATTTAATTTTGATCCCAGATAAGTGCAAAAGATGACTTTTCAATCTGCGACATTTGGGTGCCTGATGCTACACTTCTAAAAGACAACAACTTGTGCACGCCAAGTTTCCAGTCAATTCACCACCGTAATAAACCTCCTCACAAACCTGCTAGCAACAGCTCATGCAACAAGACCACCCGAGCCTCTACCACCAAAAATAACAGTCGGGAGTCAAGTCCTCTTCTTGGTAACACATCTGAAGGTGACGGCAGTTCAAAGGCAAGCCCCAAGCAAGCAATTCTCTCTTCATCATCTCCCATCACCGTGCCCCAACAGTTAAATGCAGCCAGGTCTTCTTCATCAAAGAAGCTTCCTGAGTCCTCGCGTTCATTGCAAGTGCATCCGCCATTCCACCCAAACCCGAATATTTTAACGCAATCAATGGAGGCGCTACCGCACACGCCTGAGAGCCTCAGTGCAGGACTTGGTCTTACTGCGCACCTGCTGTGTCTTGTGTCAGGTTTGCTGCAGTTGCCCCTGCGCTACCCCATCACGCCTTCTGGATCCATGGCCACCATCACTGACTTGGCTTCCACGCAACTGCCAGAGGATTCCAGGAAGTGCGCAACATTTTATTTAAGATTAGTACAAGAGATAAGATCATGATCAGTATAATAGATAAGATCGTTATGATCAGTATAAGTAGATAAGATCTTTATGATCAGTATAAGAGATAAGGTTATCACGACAAAAAAAAAAAATAAATGGCAGTCCAAACTTTAGGAAGAAACTTTATTTAAACAAATGTCGGAAAAATATACATATAGCATAATTTATGGTATCGAAGTTTGATTTAATAGTTGAAGCTACTTGCGTTTAGTGTTGACGCTTGCTTTACGGTGGAACTCTTTGTTACGAATTCAACATCCATCCCACTAGAGCTTTATCAAACTTTCTTGTCGTCATTCTGCATTTATACCTAATATCTGATACTCTATCCAGACTTCCATTGTACACTCGCGGCACCCGCGACAAGGAGCGCGAGCGGCTGCACTTCAGCTACGCTGTTTTCCTCCTCAACAAGAACATCGTGGAGCTGCTCCACTACCTGGGGCGCTCCAAGCTGTCCTCCACAGCGGCCACGCTCCCCAACCTCCATAGCGCCCTCATCATGCTATCCAGGTACGAAAGTATCTGGATCACGCTCTCCAGGTACGGCATCCTCCACCCTGTCCATCACGCTCTCCTGGTACATTACGCTCCCTGTCCATTCTGGATTCCTGGTACATGATATTTTTTACGTACAGACTTCCATTGTACACTTGTGGCGCCCGTGACAAAGAACGCGAGCAGTTTCACTGAATCATTATTTAATTTCGATCATATCCGTCCTTTCTTGCCTGCCATTAAAATGGATGCATTAGTGTGACTTTTGGATGCATTCAAGTAGGTATTTTCTTTGACGTGGGCAGAGCTTGTAGTGTACTTGCCAAGCCTCGATTCAATCTGTCCTTGTGCTTCAGTTGAACTTCTATGCTTGTATTTTCAGGAAAGATGAGCCAGCAACTAAATCTCTGCCTGATGCGAGATGTCAGCCGCTGCTCAACAGCAACAACCCTGGGCTCTTGACAGATATCTTAACTCCTTTCATGAACTCCAACGGCCCTCCGCAACCGAACTTGAGTGCCAACAAGAATGCTCCTCAATCTCTCCAAGGCCAGCAACCCAAAAATTTGAGCTGTTCTCGCTCACCATGTCATACGCGATCAAACTCTCAGTCGCTCTCCCAATCCCCTCAACGATTAGTCTCAAAGTCTCTCTCTCCGTCTCTTAGCCACAAAAGCTTCAACATGGTTATTCAGCCTTCGGGTTTATTTTCTGATAATAATACTGATAAGGGGAAAAGAAGCCTACAACACAGTGCTAGTGTAGGAGATCTCATGAATATTTTTCTGTCATCTCCCAAAGAAGATGTCACTCCCATTAGTGATCAACAATCTCTACGAACCAATGTTAATGATTTATCTCTTTACTCAAGTAATTATGGCACGAGAACTCCAAGTTCTCTTGATAGTAAGGAGGCTTGCCTGAGTTCTCAATTTACTTTATCGCTTGATAAGGGCCTGGATCACATCCAGAGTCTTGTTGATGAAGTGCGTGGAAGAGGCATGTTGCAGGACGACATCAACGCGTCCTCTGGCGGAAAATTTGGAACCGTCTCCGTGGATACAAAACTGTCCGCCAACACCGGCTCCCTCACTAACCTAACAAAGAACAAGGCTTTGGTGGTCGTAAGCCAAAGTATTGAATTTGAAAACTCTAGTGTATCGCGGTTTCCTGACTCGACAACCCTGATGCTGAGGACGTGGCAGGAAGACAGTCCTATACAATATTCCTACACTCCTCGTGGGAGCACAGACCTGCTGGAGGAAGTTGGGGTCGAAGCTACTGAGAATTTCATGCAGCCCTCGGCACCTGAAGTTGCTAACACAGACAAAGATGTAAATATTAGCAAACCAGATTCACTAGAGGACCGAAGTGTTCGCACCTCAAACGATAGGAATGATGAAAGATTAAACAAAAGTACTCCGGTAATCTCCGTACCCGATCCTCAATATAACGCCGAACTGTCGAAATCCGGTAAACGGCCAATAAATCGGAAAGAAGAGAAGACGGTAATTTCCAAAACAAAAGCTAGAAGTTTCTGGCCCTTCAGCCGCTCAAACACTAGCGAAGAAAGCTGCAAAGAAAACAACAGCGTCTCTGAGCCCCTCCTTGACGCAGAAGATTCCGACCCCGAAACTCAATGCATTCCTCCAGCAAGCAAAGGGTTGAATACGAACTCCACATCCAAAGGGGACTCTTCAACTACCGGTGTTGTAAAAGAATCTGATAAAAACAGTGCCTTATCTAAAATAACGGACGACCATGACTGGCTGAGCAGTTCGGTAGAGGAAGACACGCCACTGCTGGTGGATGGTCAGGACAGCGATGAACTTTTCAAGCAATCCGTGGCTGCCATGTCAAGAGAGATGAAAGTCAGGGCAGATTTGTCCGAGCTCAACGACCTTTCTGATGTTACTGACCGAACTGAACGTCTTGCCAGTAAGCCTTTTTCTTTCAAACCTGGGAAATGATGTCAGTAATTCTAGACGTCTATCATCATCAAAAAAGACTTGACAAGTCTCTCTCAATGTTACTCGCAATAGTGTCAGCATCGAACGTTTGAAGTGACGCGACATTCTTTGGTTTCATAAGATGATTAGATAATCAATCTTTACCGAGTAAGTTTTTAGGATCCCGGAGTATCAGCAAAACTACCAGTACCGGTACCTTTATCATAGTAACGGTTTCGGTAGAAATATTCAGTTTAGGAACTGCCTTGGGGAATATAACATGTTAGCAGCGTCTCGAAGAATGCATCACTTCAATGCTTCGCCATTGTTATGGTTCATGAGACAAAGCTTTGTTTTAATGGCTGTGTTGAGCCGAGGAGTCATGGCTGTGACGAGCCAGGAGCTGAAGCAAGTCTTTTCTCGTAACTTATCTGCGCTAAATTTGTCATTTCCGTGCAATTGTGATATAAGTATTTAGCTACCACCATATCGTGGTCTTGTAATCTGTAACCAGCACTCCAGTTGTGGCCGGCCTTCAACTATCAAACTCGTCTCTTCGTGAATTTTGCCTCGATGTAAATGAAGGCTGAACTAAAATTGCCTAATGTAGTAAGTCCTCTACTTTATTTACATCGCACCGTACCTCGTAGCGCCATGGCTGTAATGAAAAATAACCAGTTTTGCTGTATCAGCAAAAATCATCATGTGATACTCATGTGAATTGTGTGTGTTTGCACAATCTGATGCTCCTATGAAGTTATTGTTTTTAGCGCATTTTCACATTTATTGAAAAAATGCCCTATTGTGCTCGTCATATCCGCCTGTCTGACCGACCGTCTGTCCGTGACTTCACGTTTTCGTCGACGAGAAAAAGCGCTTTCTGTCACTCACTGCAGTGAGTACCGTACTGAGTTATATTTTTTATTTTGTTGAAGATCAGAGATTGCCACATTCGAGCTGGTGAGCACATGCTGTTATGCCTATGCTGTAGTTATGAAAGTTGAGACTGCTCTTGTAGAGACGGGTAGATTTTTTGCCTGTTATTAAGGTGACAAATAATTGAGTTTTACTTGACACTATGTATTCGATTAATAAAAAATATACGTATTAAACTTCAGTGTCAAGCAAGGGCTGTAGTGTCCACCTTGCTTTCTAGTGATTCGTTTAGTTCTAAATAAGGTGATTTTCTGTTACTGTTTCTGTTAGTATTTTCTAATATTTATCCAACGTTTTACTCAATTGTTCATAAACATTCCTAGTATGGATGTCGCGTGATAATTATGTTGTGAATGTTGTTCATTTTAATCGAATATGTCCAATTTATTTCAGTAGGTATTTTAATTCACATTTTTCCCGACAACGATAGATTCCTCAGCAGATGTGAACGTTGAACTTCTTAACGGTCTCAATCGCGTCGCAGAATGAATGTTAGTTATTGCCCTTATCTTTAAGAAGTGTTAAATTTTTCATTGATACACAGGAATTATTTTTCTTTAGAGATCTAGATAATGCTGATAAATTCTATCAAAAAATATATCGATATTTTGTTATTTGATTCAATTTGAGCATTTTATTTCTAACGGAAATGTACCGATGTTGATCTGTTTTTTATCTTTGGTAGATTATGTCGCTCGCGCAAATTTTTTTTTCATTTTCGCGTTGCAATTTGAGATAATCTTTTGCAAGAAACTCCATTATGTGAGAACTGAGGTTTTGGTGGTTATTTTTAATCGGTTTTCACAAAAACTCCTGCATTCAATGAACGCGTTATTCTTCAATAAAAATCCATGTCTATTGCGAAATTTTTGTGTAGTAAACTTGAAGGTTTTGGTTACCTCGAATTATTTTTCAGAAATCGATCTCTTTGCCAATTAATTAAGCGTTTTAATTTTTATTTTGCACTGTCTCGTAAAGTATTAACTTGTTGACGCTGTACTCGCGCTAGACGTACCTTGGTGACGCTGTACTCGTGCTAGACGTACCTTGGTGACTATGTACTCGTGCTAGACGTACCTTGGTGACGACGTACTCGTGCTAGACGTACCTTGGTGACGCTGTACTCGTGCTAGACGTACCTTGGTGACATGTACTCGTGCTAGACGTACCTTGGTGACGCTGTACTTGTGCCAGACGTACCTTGGTGACGATGTACTCGTGCTAGACGTACCTTGGTGACGATGTACTCGTGCTAGACGTACCTTGGTGACGATGTACTCGTGCTAGACGTACCTTGGTGACGATGCACCAAGGTACGTCTAAACGGGAAATTTTGACGGTCCATTTCACCTGCTGATTTCTTTTCTGCTGTTGGAGCTTACGAATTTAGTGATTATGTAATCGGGTTGAAAGTATTTATTTAAAGATTTTGTTGAATAAATGAGACCTTTTGTTTGTTCACTTTTCCCTTGAACTTCAAAGCACTTGATGCAAATATGATCGATGAAGAATGTTTTGGAAGTTGAGAAGTATCAGTTTCATCGATTTATATAAGCAAAATGCTACTAAATTTCATAATCTTGGCCTCAGTTCCCTTATTCCTCGACATCTATTTTATTCTACATGATGGTAAGTAGAGTTGGCGAGTCATGCTGCTAGCCTCAGTAACGCCCGTTTCTCTGTCAAACAGGTGAACAATTGTGGTTCATTTCGCATTTTTTAAGAAATGCTGCTTGCGTGGATCTATAATAATCAATGAGAACATCCGAGGAAGTAATGGCGATCATAATTCTCACTTACGAAAAAATAATAATGATACTCCGTACCAGTTGACGGTCACTGTAATGTCAAAGGCCAAACAGCGCGTACTAACTTTTTACTAATGCCCGCACTTCTTTTCCCATAATGAGCGGGAAATATTTATGACATGCAAAATTGGTAGAGATATAAAGATTTGAAAACTTACGCACTGCACATGGAAATTGAAAAAAATAGATTGTAGATGCAAAAAGAATTTACTCCTAATTTAACTATCGCTCAACGATCCCCGAGTTCTTTAAACTTCAACAAATATTTTTGAATAGATATGTAATCTTGATATCAATCTGTGCAAAACTTAAAATTTTGACTCGTATAAAACTAGAATAGCACGCAACGATTCAAAGACCATATAAATTTCCCAGGGCCTATACTTTCAAAAAAAGGTAAGTGATCATAAGTTCATCAGCCAATCATTGACGGCCTTTCAAGCAAAATCCACCAATCATAGACAAGAAAATAGAGCGTAAGTACTTGCGTTCACTTAGCGAGTTTTGAAAGTATTAAGTCGAACGTTTCGGAATCTTCGAGACTCGAACTCCGTGAACTGAACGCTACAGGAAGTGTTATGAATTAGTGGCATATCCTCCGCCTCAGTCCTTTGTGTCAGCGCTGATTTTGATCTCGAAATTTTATCCTAGCCAGCCACACCCGTAAATATCGTGGTAAGGTGAAGTGTGTGATATTCAGAAGGTGAACAATTTTTAGTGATCTACTGGAAAATGTATACGACGTACAGGAAACGATTTCTGTTTTGGAAGCAGATATACGTACGTTAAGGGGATCGACCTAGCATTTTGAAAACTTCTACAGTTATTATCCGATTGTCATGAAACTTCACATACATACGTAATGTCTATTTACTGAAGGAACTCCACCCCCCGCCCCCAAATAAAGGCGGGCCATCTGCGTCAATATTGCCGTACATAGATGGCAGTAGTATCGTTGGAAAGCTCAGAATGTCAGCTTTAAGATGAGACTAAGCATGTAACTGCAGCACAACTCAAGTAGAAACTATTTTCAAAGATTTCAGCAGCTAATTACTTTATATCTAATTTGTTAAAAAAACTCTCTCACCCGCTTTTCTTTAAAGAGACGTCATGAACGTAAATATTCACGTAGAGAGATGGCAGTGGTACCATTGGAAAGAGCAGAATTCCAGCTTTCAGATGAGCACAAAAACCAAAAAACGCCAAAATTGAAAATTTTAGCTAGGTCGGTCCCCTTAATTACACAGCACGATCAAGCAATAAAATTATTGTTGAGTTGCGGGTGTGCAGAGAAGGCGTCTAGAGATTATTAGAAATTTCCATATTTTTTTCATGCTATTTTTTTCGGCCATTGTGGGCGAATTCTATTACTTCACGGATTGTTTTTTATTACCGCGGACTAAATTGAGTCGCTGCATTTTATTTTCTTTTTCTTCAAGACAGAAATTAGGCAAAGGGCACTAACAATTTAATACATTCAGCAATGGGCCTTCAGCGTGATTTTCCAGTTTGCCAGTGGATTGGAATTCCAACCAGAGTCAAGTTCAAGTTGGGGAACCTTGACAGTGGCACCTGAACCACGGACTTCCTTCTATCATTTCTGTGCTGTGGTCCCAGTTTCTTGGTCACAGGCTTATGAAAGCTGCCAGCGACAAGTTGGCAGTCGCAATGTCTTCCTAATGTCTGTAATATGCGCGCAACGTATTAGTTTTTGTCGCATTAGTTTTTATCTTAAAAATAAATTAGTTTACGTTCGACGAAGTACTTCATTGATTGTAGTCTTGTGAAAAATGGCAGGTATTCGTTCTTTCCTTAAGAGAGAACGCGGAGACAAAAAAGCAACAAAACTGTATTAAAATTTTATTATTTATAGATTATAGTTTATAGTGAATGAAATGAAAACCGCTAAAATGATTCAAGTATATTAAATTTGTCTTCAATTTAAGACGTTATAAACGCAAAGTTATCAATTCGTCAGCCGCGATACTAAATAAAAAACAGGGTAGAAAATTGATTGCCTCCTAGCATGAGTTCCAAATTTTTAATATTTTGCGCTCAGTATAGTTTTAAAAGTCAGGAAGGCGCACTTTGTGGCTGTGGTATAGGCAGATAATAATGCGCTCAAATCAGCATGAAATTCAGACCATGAACTTGCAGGCTGAACCCGAACTGGAGTGCGAGAAATAAAATGTCACCAGCTTTGCTTGCTATAAAAGATTGGCCTCTGACCTGCGTAAGAAGTTTTCATGTCGCTAGTTGGTGGTCTCGTGTTCGTTAGCTCATTAACTCGTAGAGCAGTCAGATAAAACAGTGACGGATAAATTAGGAACCGTAAGCAACAACAGTGAGCAACGAACGTACTCCTGGAAATTATAAGTGATAACTGAACGTCTGAGTCAGTCGTGTTATATCTCGAATTCAGTCATCGCTCACGTAGTCCTTATACTGCTTTCAAATGACATGATGCCCTGAACATCAATGGAGGTAGAAGTAGGTATAGAGACCTTGCGTGTTAAAGTTTCAAATAGCATACTGTGGAACACATCCTTACGAACTTTCTTCGTGCAGGTCTCGATTGGTAAAGCTGTTCGTTATTAAATCGAACATATTTTTCCGTTAAAATTAATCGAGAAGACTCAGATACGTGTCATGCCTCCCGATAAGTCACCTCTTTTTTTTCGCACATATTGTACTTGAAATGAGGTGAAATAATTATTGTAATTTTGATGTGAATAATTACAGTTAAATTAAGACACTATCTGATCGGAGATAGTGAATATTCTTTACTATCTCTTCCCACTCCTTGGCAAAGTCGACAACCCGCATGTCGGCAGCATGCTTCTTGATACATGATGTCCAATTTATAGCTGAAAAATATCGACGGATTCGATCACTGTTTTTTTTGTAGTGCCCGGGGCTGTTAGACAATGCCCGGCCGTCAGGCAAAGCACATTTTTTCATATCTGACTTCGTAAGACTGTTTAGTCGTAAGGAAGAGCGTTCGTTAGGAGGTGTTCCACTATATACAAGCGTCCATTGACCTACTGTCCGCTGACGGTTACTCACG